AGCAACTCCTCTGTCTGTCCAACTGTCTTTCTCTCTCTTTGGGCTCTATCCTATCGTTTACTCCCTCCACCCACCTCCCTATTTTCTGCATATAAACTGACGTTTTCCCAGCCACCATCAGTTCTGAGGAAGGGTCACCGGACCCGAAACGTTAACTGTGTTTTGTCCTCCACAGATGCTGCCAGACCTGCTGAGCTTTTCCAGCAACTTTATTTTTGTTCCTGATTTACAGCATCCGCAGTTCTTTTGGTTTTTATTTAGCATTTTGCAAGGTCTACCTAAGGTTGCCATTTTATCTAGATGACATTTAATAACAGGGAAAAATAGTGAAGGCATTTTCCAAGGTGGGTGTACACCTAAGAAGGGAAAAATGTGTGTCCCAGGCCCCCCAAGTGACCTACTTGAGCTACATAGTCGACAAGACTGGGTTACACCCATTGGAAGAAGGCAATCAAAGGTGCACCAGCTCCCATGTCTGTCCCGGAGCTTAGGTCATTTCTTGGCAGGTAAATTACTTCAGAAAGTTCATACATAACTTGGCCTGCTTTCTGGCAACTTTGCATTAGCCCCTAAAAAAGGGTCAGCCTTGGAAATGGTCTCAGAGACAAACCCTAGCTTTCTGTGAAGTTTAAAATAAAAGCTATCTTCCTCTAAGGTGTTGGCACACTGTGATCCCAGGAAAGATCTAGTACTGACATATGCGATAACTCCCTGTACGGCATCCGGGTGGTATTAGCTCATAGGTGGCCCAGTGGAGAGTAATGCAGAATAGCACATCCATCCAGCACTTTGGCTAATACAGAGCGTAAATAGGCCCAGACAGAGCAAGAAGAGTTGGCGCTCATATTTGGAGTCGGGGGTTCCACCAATACCTTTACGGATGAAGATTAATGATAATAACAGACCACAAATCCTTACTTGGTCTACTTAAAGAAGACAAGGCAGTGCCACCCACAGCCTCAAGTCGCATTCAGCGGTGAGCTCTAATACTAAGTGCTTATAATAACAAGTTAGAACAGCACCCAGGATGCCGAGTAGCAAATACGGATGCCTTGAACCATCTCCCATTAACAGATACACCACCGGTGGTACCACCATTGGAAGAATCTGTAAAGGTACTAAATTTTCTGGACACATTCCCAGTCACAGCTGACAATCAGACTTTGGACGCAGAATGATCCAGTCATAAAAGACTGTAACAACTGAAATCGAAACCTTATTGGATCCACAGAGACCAGGCCACAGTGGAGGATGGCATATTGTTATGTGGAGCAAGTGTAATTGTCCCAAGCAAAGGTCGCCGTCAAATACTGGCTGAATTCCACCAGGACCATCCAGGGATCTCCAAACTGAAGATGTTGTTGAGCAGGTATGTCTGGTCACTAGGCTGTGTTGATGGGGCAGTGCCCAGAGTGCCAACAAGGCCAAAAATTACTGCCAGCAGCTCTCCCACACCTGTGGGAATGCCCAGGTAAGCCTTGGACTCGGTTGCACGTCGAGTATGGGCTTGATGTTCTTAGTCATTGTAGACGCACACTCTCAAAGTGTTTGGATGTGCAGAGTCCATTCAACAAACACAGAAATGTTGATAGAAAAACTGCAGACATCTTTTTCAACACATGGAATCCTGGAAGTGTTCATCACAGATAAAGGGCCATTGTTTACCAGCAGGGAATTTGGGTATTACCTTTGGTCGAATGGGATTCAAATATAAGGACAGCTCCATACCCACCTATCATCCAATGGTCTGGCAGAAAGAACAGTCTAAACTTTGAAAGCTGGCTTGAAGAAACAGCCAACAGCCTACAGCCTCGCTGGATGCGAAACTGTCATGGTTCTTATTTGATTAGAGGACCACCCTACGTGCAACTACAGAGTTGCTAATGGGTAGAAGGCTTCACACCAGGTTAATTTTGATCTTCCCAGATGTGGGGCTTCAGAGTTGCCAATGCCGGATGCAAGACTCCACCAAGCGAGAGAGAGAGTTTGATACAGGAGGCAAAGTGTGCTGGAAGAATCCCAGAAATGGCCCTGCATGGTTAAGAGTCACGGTCGAGGCAAGGTCAAGACCAGTAATGTATAAACTTCAGGTAGGTGTGATGGATGAAAGCTACAGATTTGCAAACGATATGGGAGCAAAATGTATCCTGCCTTTTGCAACAATCAGAAAGACTGCTAGAACCCATGGGTTCACCCTGTCCATCAAGCATTGATGAGTCCTCTGAATCGGAGATGGATATGATAGATGTCACCTCCTCGACACCTTTGCCGCCAGAAGAAGACACTGAAATTCTACTGAGGCATTCCTGGCACAAGAGGCAAGCTCCAATGCATTACACGCCACTCATATCAGATGCCAAGACAGAGGAACCTGACCCGGTGCTAAAAACTGGCCTGTCTGGAGCTATTTCAACAGGAAAATTCAGGACTGAAACATTACATAGTAGAATGCAGATTTCAGAAAACGCAGTCAAATCATTTCACAAATCATATTGATGTGTTGAGTTTTTTAGCTCTCTGTAGATGTAGTTATACGGATAAAATAATGAGCAGGGAACTACGCTGTTGAATCAAAAAAGCCGAAAGATTTTCTCAGCCTTTTTTTAAAAAAAAAGTCTTCTGGTTGGATCATTTTTTTGATTGGAGATTATATGATAAGGATGAATAATTTAAAACTGACACGGAAGAGGAGAGTTTTGGAGAAATTTCTCTGTATTGAGAGCAGTCAGTGTTTGAAATAGTTTGTTATATAAAATAATTGAGGCATTGGCCTTTTCACTATTTAAGTAAAAAAATTGATAAATATTTAAAGGTTTGATGAGAGTATAGGGCAGTGATATTTGTTTGGAAAACTCTATCTGGGAATCAGCATACTCAAATAAGACCACCGGCCTCCTTCTGTACTTTATTCTTGACTTGTGGTCCATTACTTTTAAAGACCGTAAGACCATAAAATGTAGGAACAAAAGCAGGCCATTCGGCCCATCAAGTTTGCTCTACTATTAATGAGATTATAGTTGATCTGACAATCTTCACCTCCACCTCGTGATCCTTCCCTGAACTGCCTCCAATGCCGGCATATCTTTCTTTTGATAATCCATCAAATCCATAGAATCCCTACAGTGTGGAAACAGGCCATTTGGCCCAACAAGTCCACACTGATTCTCTGGGGCCGTGTGACTTGAATGCACAGTCCTCTAACTCAAACGTGAAAGTGCCACCAACTGATCCATGGCTGATGTTAGGCCACAGAGATCAGAGAAATAATGTCGTACCTTCAAATTGTCTTAAAAAGATGAAAATTTTCCTTTGAGCTAGGTTAATACTTGATACATGAGGAAGATCCCTGATGTACACCTAACATTTTTCAAAAGGAATTTGGGTAAGATTTCAGCTTTTGACACGTATATACATTTTGAGTTTTTAATCAAACTGAATGTTTTTGGCGCCTGTTCACTGAATCAAGCAATAATTTGTGCATTATATTAACATAACAGCATTTGAAGTATCATGGCAATATCTTAAGGAATGGAAATGTTCTTGTTTCAGGTTCCTTGTGCTTTATAACCCAACAGACCAAGACCGCATCTCTGTTGTAACAGTACAAGTAAATTCACACAAAGTAAGAGTGCTGACTGCTTCAGGGCAGCCAGTGGAAGCCCAAATTAGTGCAGTATGGGATGGACCCACCACAGTTTCTAAAAACCTATTCCAGGTCAGTTGTAATTTATTTAATTATTGACATTTATTTGCTTTTTCTAACTTCATTCTTTGCAAAGCTGCAGATCCCTAAGTGCCAGATATCCTCTGTTAGCTTGTTCAATAGTTAATATTCTCAAGCATATTTTAACAGTGAATGAGACCATTCAACAGCAAATATTGTTATGGAAAGATCTGATCCAGCCAGATCAGCAAGGTATAAATGCTGTGTTTAATGCAAAGGTAACCATGTTCAGTTTGAATGCAGTTTTAACATTGCTACAAATAGCTCCCAAGACAGTTTTCTGCTGGTTCTTACACATGCCCACTCCTCAATAGATGGCCATCAGAAGTGACAACCCTTCTTAACCAGAGAGCCAACCGTAGCACCATTTTACTGCCCATCTGTGATCAGTGAGATCAGCACAGACTAGTAAGTCAACCTGGTGTCTACATAATCTGTGTTGATTAACTACTCAATGGTTAACTTCATTATCTGACAATCTGGCACATTTTTATCATAGCTCTCTTTCAGCTTATCCTTTGTAGACTTCTATGTTCACATTTATTGTGGAAGCTGCTAGTGTAAACAAATTCTGATTTTGCATCTAAGCCAGTGAAGTGAAAACTTGAAAGTCACCATAGTCCCAGAGGACCATTGGCTGTACTCTCATTTGAACGAGAGAGTTGATGACTGGTGATGAGTTTAACCTGAAGTCCCCATGCCTTGGGCGAGGTTGAGAAATCAGGCCTTGTGGTGATCTGAGCTGGTAGAAAATTGAACCCTGTTAGTATCACTGGTGCAGATCAAACAAATCATTAGTGCTGTTCCCTGATCAGTACAAAATGCAACCCATATTTCGTATAGTTTCAAGCAATTGCATTGTAAAAACAAAGCAAAATGATGTGCTGTTACGGCCTAAGTCAAAAATGTAGAACTTGAAATTGGACAAGAATGATAAGTTACAATACTGTTTAGTTACATAGGACAGAATCTAACAGGAGTCTGAACAACATGGGCTATGGTGAGAAATTTGACAGAAGCAGTCAAAGCGTCCAGCAAGGCCAATCTCTACTTCAGAAACAACTCTCTATGTACAGGCATCGATAAGGACACTTCTCATCCCAGGCTGTCTTGTTAGGTTGCTCAAGGCGATGGGCCAAGATCAGTCCATTGGGTCTGTCCAGAGAAACTAAGGGGAAAAGGGGTAGGGAGGACAAGGTGGGCTGCTGCTAAAAGAAAGAGACTCAGAAACCTAATTGTGCTTCTGGCTGGAGTGAACAAGAGGGTATGGATCAGAACAGGATTTGTGTTTGTCCGAAGTCGGGAGCTCCCTAGCTTCAAGCCTGGCAATCTGTGACCACACCTGGCATGATGAACTCATTTGCCAAGGGCTGGAGGTGATGTTGGGTGTAGCCTCATGTAGATGGTTTATGTGGGGACCTGGGGTGGTGTGAAGCCTATGGGGTTTATGAGAAGGGCTGTTAGGAAGGTGATCTGGATGTTTGGGGCCTCACTAATCATAAAAGTGGAAGCTGGAAACCACTGCCTGAAAAATGTTCGGTGTCACCTTCCATCGAGCTGAAAATTGAAAGCACACAGTGGTGAGAAAAAAAGCTGCAACCACACCGAGTGGGTTGGTGTAAATGTCTTGAACTGTGCAGAAGGGGCCACCAGGATCCACCAGTGTGAGGCTGTTTAGAGGGCAGCAAAACGTCACATAGCACCATGCACTATAGGACACAGATTTGCAGCCTCCTAATCCCTGACAATCTTATTTCATTGTGCTGTACACATTCCTGCCCCATGCATCCTTCACATCAACGCATTTGAACTCAGAGGCTAAGCATAGAATAGGGATATTGGACAATGAGGGGCAATGGTTCCATTGCCCTATATGTGACATTTTCATCTTGCTTCGACATGCTGCAGTAGGCTCTCAACAAAGACATTAATTGATGGTACATCCTGTACGGACATGAAATCAGACATCATGCTGCCACAGTTACATTCAGAGCTACACATAGACTCAAGCAAATTGATGTACTGCAAAACAAATCAAATTTTCCATACATGATAGTTCATTTACAGTCCATTGTCACCAAAAGTTTGACTAAAGTGCCCTCAAAATTGTTTTTTTCTTTATTTCCCTTCCATTATGTCTTGGTGTTGTCCCAGGTTCTACAGCAGGGGTGGAGAGATTCTGCTTGGCAGTGGAGTCCATTGGCTCCAGGCGACCCCGGGGACATTTGCGGCTAGATGGCCCAGACATGCTGAGGGGTGCAAGTGGATTCTCCTCAGCTTCAACTTCCAAGGGTTGGTACAGGACATGCAGAGTGAACGTGGAGGGCATGTCCACTACTGGAGTGTCCAGAGAGGAATTTTTTGATGGGCCTGTGTGTGGTTCCTCCTTTAGCTGTGTGCCTCCTACTTCTTGAGAGGAAGGACATATTGAAATGTACATCAGGGTCCCTGTTGCCATGCCTTAATCCTGAGGACCAACAACGAGGGCACTGAAGTGTCGGTTTGCCAACATGTCCACAGAGGCAGTCAGAAGATTGTATGCGCCAGGGTCCCCAAAGTGTAGCTGCAATCCTGCAGTCCCTTAAGCAAAAAGAGTCATTGTCTCCCACATTCCTATCTGCTGCTCCTGTCGCCCCCTGTGTATGTGGACAAGGTCCCTGGTTGCCAACACCACAGGGCCCTCTTCTGCCTGGGGCTGAGCAGGTGCCTGGTCTCTGGTAGTCAACCGAGTGCCAGCAGCTTGGAAAGTTTGTTCCTCAGCAAACTACAGAACTATCACAATGAGATGCTCACCAGCATTTTCTCCCAGATTTTCTAAGTAACTTTGTTAATGAGATGGCACAGTTTCTCCGTGGTTAGTACTGCTGCTTCATGGTGCCATGGATCTGAGATAGGGTGAGGGGACTGGGTTTATAGGATGCTCTTTGGAGTGTTGGTGCAGAGTTGATGCACCGAATGACCTCTTCCTGTACTGTAGAGATTATATGATTCTATGGTGGGGAATGGAGGAAGTAGTCTTGCAAATGTTTTCTCTGAAGCTTCAGTACTCTCTTCCTCAAAAGATGAGCAGTTGGCCTCTGGTAGAGCAGGCCCTTTCTGCACAGGTGCCATGGGCACCTCGACCAGCAGCTGTCTCCCGCAAGATACAAGAGAGAGAAGGCATTGAAGCCTGTGGTTAGAAGTGATGTGGCGTGATTGACACTGACTGGGGCTAATGGGAAAGTTGCAGTGAAATGAAGAATGGTGGTTTATGGGGAGGCCAATGGCCGAGTGGTATTATCACTAGATTACTAATCTAGAGATCCAGGTAATATTCTATGGACCAAGGTTGAAATCTTGTCATGGCAGATGGTGGAATTTGAATTTGATGAAAAGTCTGGGATTAAGAGTCTAATAATGACCTGAAACTGTTGCCGATTGTCAGAACAACTCATTTGGTTCACTGGCGACCTTCATGGAAGGAAATCTGCCTACATGTGACTCCAGACCACAGTGATGTGGGTAGCTCTCAACTGTCTTCTGGGCAATAAATACTGACCTGGCCAGTGGTATCCATACCCTGTGAATGAATTTAAAAAAACTTACTTGGTTGGTAAGATACTGATGTCTCAGCATTCCTGCAGGAGCAGTCTTGGTTTTCTCCCTCAAGGTACAGGATTCCCTCCTGAGAGTGGATAATGAGCCTGATGTTAGGCACCCATTGGGGCCCTTTCTGTGGTATTTGGATTGTCGTCTTCTAGAATGAGAGAAAGGGAAGGACTGAGTCAGGTGAAAGTGGGTAGCATAGTGTTAATGCAGGTGGTTCAGTGAGGTGTCCTGGGCAGGTCAGAAGGCAGTGCAGAGGACATGCATGGTTAGTGATGTGGGACGTTGCTAGAATGAAAGCAAATTCCCCTGCAAGCCACAGACCATCCTGACTTGGAAATATATTGTTGTTTCTTCAGTGTTATTGTGTCAAAATCTGGAACTCCCTCCCTGATGGCATTGTGGGTCTGCCATTGATTTGAGCAGTTCAAGAAGCCAGCTCACCACCATTTTCTCTGGGGCAACTAGGTTTGGGCAACAAATGCTGGCCCACATCCCAACAGTGAATTAAAAAAAATTAAGCAATGGAAGATGTCGTTTGTAATAGTAAGAGTGGTAAAGCATGAGCCTTTGTGGGAATTGATGCAGGGTGAGTGTGAGGTGTCATAGAGAGAGTGTGGCACTTAGCCTTGGTGCTGCCAGCTGCTCCTCCACACTACAGAGACTGCACTGATCCAGGTGTTGAAATCAAACCACTCTGGCACAATGTGGAGTTATGGTCTCCTTTCCCCTGCCAGTCCTCCAGGATGAGGACGCTCTTCCTCTTGACCATCTCTTTACCAGGACCTCCAGGTCCCTGTCAGAGAATTATGGCACAATCTTCACCTCCTCCAACATCATTTAACTGTCACCGAACAGCTCAGCTTCACAATTTAGTGCTCGTACGGATGTACAGTGGCCTTTTACGTATGGAGTAGGTGCTAGAAATGCTGGTTTTTGATGGCTATCTCATGAGTGATGAGTTCTTTCAGGAATGATGAGAGGTACAATGTGGCTAGAATCAGATGAGAGGGGTGCCATAGAGGCAGGATAGGTAATTAATGAGGGAAGCTATGGCGAGATCTTGCTAGGCCTCAGTGAAAAATCCTTCAAAAAACTTTGCAAAACTGACACTTAGCCGAAAAATAAAGCAGATGGGGCGACAAATTACTGAACTTTATTCCTGACTTTTGCATTTAATGGACTTTATCATAGAATCCTTACAGTGTTGAAGCCGGCCATTCAGCCCACTATGTCTACACTGACCCTCTAAAGACCATCCCACCCAGACCTACCCATCCCTGTAACCCTGTATTTCCCATGGCTAATCCACCTAGCCTGCACATCCCTGGACACTATGGGCAATTTAGCATGGTTAATCCACCTAACCTGCATGTCTTTGAACTGTAGGAAGAAACTGTAGCACCTGGAGGAATCCTACACAGACATAGAGAGAAAGTGCAAACTCCACACTGACAGTCGCCCGGTCGTGGAATCGAACCAGATCCCTGGCACTGTGAGGCAGCAGAATTAACCACTGAGCCACCATGCCATATTACATTGATTTGTACATTGGTCCAGCTGTGGCAATTTCTTTTAGAAACTTAACTTAGCAAAAAATGCATCAATTTATTACAATTGTTGCAAGTTATTCTCCAATTTTATATTATTATATCTGAGGCTGGAATATGCACCATTTTTTTCTGGTATCTCACTCTAGTGCCACAACTCCGTTATCACAGCATAAAATTAAAGTACCTTTTCCAGTTACTAAGATGGCCAGTTAAATAGCTTGTCAAAAGTAAAGTTAAAGCATGTGATCTATTGATCAAATTTCTTAATAAATGAAATGGTTGGTTTGTTATCAGAATGAAGCTTATTCAGTAAAGATGCAATAATTGGTTAACACGTACCATTTATAATATGGAAATGTAAATGGTTATCGCTTAAACTCACACTTAAGCACACAGCTTTCTCTTCAGGAAGAAAGCAAGCAATTTCTCTGAAGAGATTGACTTTCTGAAAAATTGTTTGGCCAATAAGTCATTCTTGAAAGTAAAATCATAAAGCATAGAATGTTTTGGAGTCTGTAGTTCTGATGTTCTGGTCAAGCCACACATCATATGCAGTGGTCTCTGGCAAAAATGTGATTAGAAAATACAATCTTGAGATGCTACTTCAATCCCTTTTTTAAAAGAACAAATATGTCTGTAGTTGGTTAATACTTGCAACAATGGGTTGTATTTTGTACATGTTTTATATTGCAGATGTGATTAAAATATTTGATAATACGAAGACAATACAAAGAATTTGGGGTGGCACAGTGGCTCAGCTATTAGCACTGCTGCCTCACAGCACCAGGGACTCAGGTTCAATTCCAGTCCATGGGCAACTATCTGTGTGGAGTTTGCACATTCTCCCTATGTCTGCATGGATTTCCTCCGGGTGCTGTGATTTCCTCCCACAGTTCAGATTGTGCAGTTTAGGTAAATTGGCCATACTAAATTGTCCATTGAGTTCAGGGATGTGCAGGCTAGATGGGTGAACCATAGGAAGTGTAGGGTAGGGTTTTGGATCTGGGTGGGATTCTCTTTGGTGGGTCGGTGTGGACTTGATGGGTCAAATGGCCTGCTTACACTCTGTACGGATTCTATGTCTCACCTTAATCTCAACTAGAGGGTTATCTTTTCAGTAATGACAGGGGTCAGCTGGGCAGCTTGTTCTAAGCAAGTTGCTCTCAAACTCAGCTTGTTCTTACCAGATTTTCTTTGAAGTCAACACGTCTTACTGAACAAGGTAAAAAAGAAACTTCTTCAAACAAGTCACTGTTTCCATCAGCCCAAGCAGAGGTCTACAGAAAAGCAGACAGTTATCACCACTCATGTTAATTCCAAGAAGCCTGTTTTTGAAAAAAAATCTCCAATACCCATAATGAATATTCATTAACCTCTTTCAAATAGATAGCTGTATGTATTTCTACAAAACTTGCAATGAATCCATTTTTTTCCAATGGACTCCTAAGAAGCTCAACTTAGTAGAATGACTATGTTTGAAGTACACTGTGAATATTAAAGTTATTATGTCTATCAGTGAAATGAGTCAAAATTTAAGCTTTGTATTTGATATATTTCAACATTTTTTATTCTTCCAACAGATTTCCTTTGTGGCACATGTATCAGCACTAGGATTGGGGCTCTACCACTTAGTGGAGGCTTCAGATATCAAACCTGTGCTCACTGATTATACTGTGTACCAGAGTGGAAGGGAAGAAATAAGCATAGACAGTCCTTTCAAGATTGACACACTGAAAAGCTACACTGGTGATGTCACTATTGAAAATCTAAATTTGAAGGCTTGGTTTTCAGGAACTAAAGGTTTTTTGGAGGTATAAAATTGTAGGAATATGTTTCTTTGGTTTGTATAGACCTATCACAGTAATTCAGTAAACTTGTAAATACAAATAAGTGATCACCTAGTTGACTGAGCTTCCTTTGCTCTTTTGCATTAAGATTTGCATTAACAAATAAGTCAAACTAAAACATGATTTAAATTTTGACATATTTGATTCCCTTTTTTCCCTTTGTGAAAGTTATTTTTGTTCTTGCATTCAGTCACTGATGCAGTCTTCAGTATTGGCCCATCATTACTGTGTTCACTAGCACAGATGCAAGCCCTATTTTAAAAGATGCATTAATTGTTGTTGATTGTTCCTAATGATGATTCTCATGTCTACACTTTCAACTGCCCCACTCTGTTGTGGGATCTGTTTCTCTAAGTGCAAACAGAAGCATAATTCTGCCATCATCTCCTCTTAATTATGGGGGTATGAAAGCAGAGTTGACTGAAATGAATTGGCAATCTAGGTTAAAAGAAATGCCTTGCAGAGATGTAAGGTTATAGATTATAAGAGCAGGGAGGTTATGTTAGAGCTATGCAAAACTTTGGTGAGGCCACAGCTGGAGTACTATGTTTAGTTCTGGTCACTATACTATAGGAAGGATGTGATTGCACTGGTAGGGGTGCTGAGTAGATTCACCAGGGTGTTGCTTGGGCTAGAACATTTTAGCTCTGCAGAGAGGCTGGATAAGCTCAGTTTGTTTTCTTTAGAGCATAGAAGGCTGAGGTGTGGTCCTGATGCAGATGTCTGAGATTATGAAGGGCATGGACAGAGTGAATAGAAAGCAACTGCTCGCCCTTGTTGAAGAGTCAATAGGTCATGATTTCAAGGTGAACGGCAGAAGGTTAGAAGGAATTTGAAGAAAATACTGGTGGTGGGAGTCTGGAATTCACTGCCTGCTAGGGTAGTTGAGGTAGGAAACCTCATAACCTTTAAAAAGTACTTGGATGAGCGCTTAAAATGTGACAATATTCAAGGCTATGGGCCAAGTGCTAGAAAGTGGGACTGGTGTAGATTTAGAATAGTTTAGTCAATGTGAACTAAAGGCTGAAGAGTGTCTTCTGTACTGGATGAATCTATGAGATGCAAAGATTTAGATTCAGATTTATTTATTTGTCACATGTACTCAGTATAGGAATACATTAGTACAGTGAAAAGTGCACAAAGTCGCATTCACTGGCACTCACTTGGTTACAAAAACCAGAATTAAAAGATTTAACAGATCCAGAAAGTAAACGAGAAAAAAGAAAAGTCCACATATCAGAGTCCCAAGTCCCATCTCCACAATGGTACAGCCACCACTCCAATGGCTTAGACGCCCAGGAGATGGCTTCCAGTGCCGCCATGTGAAAGGCCTGTTTTTATAACCGACTGCTGCTATCTTACAGCCTGCTCTCGCCGCCGACTGCAGCCGCCTCACCGGCCGGCTCTCGCCGCCGCTGCCTCACCAGCCTGCACTCGACATTGGACCAGCCCAGTCTTGATCCGCCACCATCACACTGGCCCACGCTTGATCTGCTGTCGCTGCAGCACACAGCCCACACTTTCAGCTCCCGCAACACAATTCCCAGTCATGACCCATGTTTATAGCAAGGCACTTAGATACATTCAAGGTAATCGAGTAGAGCCAACATGGATTTGTAAAAATGAAAATCATATTAAATCGAATAAATGAAATATTTTGAGACCGTAACATGATAGAATAAAGGAGAACTGGTGGATGTAGTGTACTTAAATTTCCAAAATTCATTTGATAAAATGTTGCATCAAAGGTTATCACAGAAAAAATGGCTCATTGTGTAGGGAGTAGCATATTGGCAGGGATAAAAGATTGGCGGACTAACAGGAAGCACAAATGGGTCTTTTTCTAGTTGGCAAGATGTAATATGGTGTGCCACAGGAAACATTGCTGCAAACTTCAATTGTTTACAATTTATATAAGTGACATGGTCAAAGAGGCTGAAGCATCGTTGCCAAATTAGCTGATGACACAAAAATTGGTAAGAAAGTAAGTTGTGAAGAAGACACAAGGAGGCTGGAAAAAGATATAGGTAGGTTAAGTACATAGGCAGTGGTGTGAGAAAATATGAAATTGATGAATGAACCCAAACCTTGGCAATCTAATGTAAACTCGATCCCTCAGAGACATTTAAAAATGCGTACACTTGTGGAATCAGTTAAGCCACGGTAGGAAGTCCATTAGAGCCATTGAGTCTGTGCCAGCTCTTCATTGAGCAACCCATTAGACCTATTCTCCACCCTCTCCTCCAGCCCTAAAGTTTATTCTCCTCAGTTTCCCATGCAATTTATGCTTGAAATCATTGATTACTTCTGTTTCTAGCATCTTGGTAGCAAGTTCCAGGCCATTACCACAGCCATATAAAACTTTTCTTCCCGACATTCTCAAAATTATTATGGTGCAGAAGGAGGCCATTCAGCTCAATAACTATCTGCCAATCTCCTGTCCATACCATTTCTATCCAGTTAATCACCCAGTGCTCTGATGAATACCTCAATTGAACCTGCCTTCACCACATTTCCAGGCAGGGCGTTCCATACCCTAACCACTTACTTTATGAAAAAAAAATTCTCACATCTCCTTTGCTTTGTTGATACATCGCTTTAAATTTTTGCACTCTCGTTCTTTTTTCTTTTACGAGTGGGAACAGCTTCTCCTTATCTACTCTGTCCAGCCTGCTCATGGTTTTGAAGATGTCTACCAGATCTCCGCTCAATCTTCCCTCCAGGAGAACAGTCTCAATTTCTTCAATTTATCCTCATAGCTCAAGTTTCTCATACCTTGAACCATTCTTGTAAATTTCTTCTGCACTCTCTCTAATGCATTCACATCTTTCCTATAAGGTGCCCCCCCCACTAACTATACACGGTACTTCAGCTGAGGTCTAACAACTGCCTTACAACATCATCTCCTTGCTTTTATACTCTGTGCCTCTAGTACGCTTGTTTTTATTGGTCAGTGCATTGATTATAGCATTTGGGATGTCATGTTGTGGTTGTTCAGGACACTGGTTGGGGCACTTTTGGAATAATGCATTTAATTCTGGTATCCCTGCTATAAGAAAGATATTGTTAAACTTGAAAGGGTGCAAAAAAGATTTACAAGGATGTTGCTGGGGTTGGAGGGTTTCAGCTACAGGGAGAGATTGAATAGGCTCGGGCTATTTTCCCTGGAGTATTGAAGTTGAGGGGTGACATAATAGAGGTTTATAAAATCATGAGAGGCGTGATAAGTGTGAATAGCCAAGGCCTTTTTCCTCGGGTAGGGGAGTCTAAAACTGGAGGGCATAGGTTTAAGGTGAGAGGGGAAAGATATAAAAGGGACCTAAGGGGCAACTTTTTCATGCAAATCTCATCTGCCACCTATCCACCCATTCCACCAATTTGTCAGTGTCCTTTTGGAGTTCCATACTGTCCTCCATACAGTTTACAATTTTTGCAAGTTTTATGTCCCCTATGCATCAGGAAAAGCAAAGATTGCAATACTGACCCTTGGGAAGCTCCACTACAAATTTTCTTCAGACCGAAAATTATCCATTGATCATTATTCTGTTTCCTGTTGCTTAACCAATTTTGTATCCCTGTTGTTGCTGTCGCTTTTATATCAAGACCTATAACTTTCCTCACAAGCCTATTGTTTGGCACGATATCAAACTCCTTTCAGAAATCCATTTGTACCACATCAAAAATGTTACCCTTATCAGCCCTTTCTGTTACGTCTTCAAAAATCTTTAGCAAGTTAGTTACAACCAATTACCCCTTTAGAAATCTGTGCTTGCCTTTCCTAATCAAACTGCCTTTTTTCATGTAGCTACTAATGCCGTTCTGTATAATTGTTTCTGCCTTTGCTATTTATGAATCCCAAGATCCCATATGCTTGCCAGCCACCCTTCCTCATGCACAGGTAGTTCTGCTATAATGCGATAGTTGTGTTCTTCTGTGACCTCGCACTATAGAAAATTGCCATAGAAAATTGTGTTTTGGGAAATCGCTATACCTGTACAGCTAAAAGTTTGTGTTATTCAAACAGCGTCCACTATTCATCAATCGCTTTACAACCAATTTGTGTTAATGAAACAAGCATTACAGCAGAACTACCTGTACTTTACCTTCAAAGGTCTATGCATGTGAATCCCAGGTCCCACTGTTCCTGCACAAGCTTTAAAACTGTGCCTTTTAGTCAGTATTGCCCACCTCTTCTGCCGAAATGCATCATCTCACACTCCTCTGTAGTAAATGCCATTTCTATTTGTCCATCTATTCCAGTAGCCCACCTACATCCTGCTGCAGTCAATTAGTATATCTTTGACACTTTCTCAAGTTTGGTATAATTTACAAATTTGACAGTTTGTTCTGTAAACCAACATCCAAGTCATTTATAAATATATGTATGTCAAAAAAGCAGTGGTCCTGGCACTGACCCTTGGTGCACACCATTGTCCACCATTCTGTTTTCTGAAAAATTACTAATGCTCATAAATTGCGGTTTTCTGTCCTTAAGCCAATTTTCTACTTGAATTTAACACTGACCCTCCTATTCCAGGAGCCTCAATTTTGGTAACTAGCCTTTTACATGGTACTTTGTCAAGTATGTACTGTATGAAAGACATAGCAAGCTAGTTATTGATAAACCCTAGGTCCAGTTCATTGAGCGACAAGTAGGTATTGTGATCATCAGTTAACAAGTATAAAGTATATAAATAAGATACTCTTAGTGCAGTGATGTGATTCTGTTAAATCTGGAAATTTAAAAGATCTAAATTTGTAACACTTGAAGGAATCCTTTTATTTGTCAATTCATTCAAAATTAGGTATTTATGCTTTTCGGAACAATAGGGGCTAATTGGCCTACTTCTGCTCCTACAATTTATGATTTTTTTGGACCATGAATCGTAATGGAGCAACCCAAACCAATTTCTGCACCTATATGTACACAGAAGTAAGACCATCTAAACCTGTGGTATAATCATACTTCATTCTGGGAGTCATGTGTTCAACTATGGATATTCCCTGTACATCTGCAATTTGTACGTAATGAATGTTATTTCTTTTGAAGAAGAAAATTTGACCGACAGCTATTGCACATGTTATTGATGTAACATTTTATAGGGGATCTCATGATTCACTTGCTTATTTGTTACGACTGTACTTGTTTTGGTGAAGATAAAAGTCAAAAAGTTATCTAAATGGGGATAAATAGTCTCAAATTGAATTTTAAAACTATTTAGGTTGATAAAATATTCAAATTCCCTTCCTTTCATTTTAGAAAATAAACACCAAGGAGGATAAGAGAGAACATCAGATAAATATTCAGTTTTGGTGGTATGGAACCACAAGTAACCGGGATAAGAGCGGTGCCTACCTCTTCTTACCTAATGGAGAAGCTAAGGTAAAACAATTTTTTTTTATTTAATAAAGGCAAAAATACTGGGAATGCTGGAAATGCTCAGCACCCATACAGCATTTCTGGAAAGAAAAGTAGTGTTGTTTTATGGCTTTAGCTATGATCTGTTGAAAAATGTTAGACGTATGCTGTTATTAAACAAATACAGACCCAAGTAACAAACAGAAAGAAACTCTCTGTGGTACAGTGAATGGCAGGACTAATTAAATGACAACGGGAATGATGATGTAAGGCATAAAAACCGAAAGAACTGTGGATGCTGTAAATCGGAAACAAAAACTGAAATTGCTGGAAAAGCTCGGCAGGCCTAGCAGCATTTGTGGAGAGAAATCAGAGTTAATGTTTTGGTCAAGGGACCCTTCCTCAGAACTAGTTTGAACACCCAATCCAAAATATTAACTCTGATTTCTCTCCAAAGAATCTGCCATACCTCCTGAGCTTTTCTAGCAATTTCTGATGTAAGGTAAATAGGAAGAAAAGATAAGCCAAGCAGAGGTTTAGATGATAAAACTGTCTTTCTGAGAAATAGGAGTCATGATTAAATTCTAGAAACTATTATCCTTAATTTTTTGCCGAGTAGGAAGATGAAGTATTGTATCTATTTACGTTTTTGGTCTTGCCTTCCACCACCCTCCACTGCCTTCTCATTGGCTTTGTACTTGTGGATTATCTGTGACAGCCTGAAATGTTGGGTGGGGCTGCCGAGGCAGCAGAGTTATCCCCACTTTAACTGGCCATGCAGCTTTGGGAACCTACCAATCATGCTGATAGGTTCGTGAATGTGAAGATTTCTAATTACTAATCTGTCTTCCAAGCTCTCCAGAGTCTGTCTATCTCTCCTGGTAAGTACAGATTTATTGAGGAGTGGGGGCGAAGAGCCTATTTGGTCCCAACCTCAGGATTCCAAAGCCCACATGAAAATTCTGCTTCTTTACTGTCATTCTCTTCATTCTTTGCCTGTCCTGCCTATTTTACAGAACATGTTGCTTTTATTTATTATATGTTATCATTCACTAAGAAATAGATGTTTGTAGGTTTGTGTAATTTCAGCTGTTATGGTCTTTGAAAACATTTCTTATTGTAGCTTAATTCAGACAGTTAGTTTTAAAAACCTTCAGTATATGATTAAAGTGATTGTAGAATCATGAAATGGTTACAGCACAGAACACGGTCAATGGCCTGTTGTGTTCATGCTAGCTTTCTCCAAGAGCAGCTCCACTAGTCCAGTTGTTGCTGCTGTATTCCTGTGGGCCTTCAGGTTATTTTTCTTCAGGCTGCTTATGCTGTTCCTTTTACAAAGCCAAGTTTGAATCAGTATCCACACTTTCTGGCTGTCTATTCCATACTCTAACTACTCGCAGTGTAAAGAAGTTTTTCAACATATTTCTGTTGGTTCTCCCTTCCTTATGGCATTACCAATAACAAATGGATTGCAGTGGATTGAGAAGGCAACCCATGAGCATCTACTCAAGGGTGACTAAGGAATAAGCAATAAATGGTGGTGGAAGGCAATTATGAAGATAGTGAGTGAAGATAAACTTGTAAAGGAAGATTGAGACTATTGAGAAAGAGCAAAGGGAGTGGGCCTAATTCAAATGTAAAGATTTTTTTTTCTCCTCCAAACCTATGAATAGTTTTAAAGTGTGAAAGTAATTGAAGTAGGAACTTGAAGAATTAAATCGATCTATTGCTTCTTAACAGCACCATAATTGCCTTATAATATAAATTACAATCTATGTCTACTCCCAGAGTTAGTTTTGCCTTTTTTTGTAAACTGATGTTTTAAATAATTAACATTCCCTTCATCCATCAATAATGCACAGTGGCACAAGTGTGTGCCACCCACAAGATGCACTGCAGCAACTGACCAAGGCTCAATAAAAACCGAAAGAACTGCAGATGCTGTAAAACAGGAACAAAAACAAAGTTGCTGAAAAGCTCAGCAGGTCTGGCAGCATCTGTGAAGGAAAAATCGGAATTAATGTTTCAGGTCCGGTGACCCTTCCTCAGAACTAACCAGGGCTCCTTTGACAGCACTTTCCATTTGTTTGACCTCGACCACCTGCAATTCCCTCTAAGCCAAACACTACCCTAACTTGGAACAATGTCACTGTTCATTAACTGACACCGGAAAATTACCATATTTTATCAATTATTTAATTTGTGGTATAAACTGGTTGTATGGTAAAAGATATAACAGAGACAATAGGGCTGAAATTCCACAGATGCTCTGCAGGCCTCTTTCTGGAATAATGCTGAAGTCTAATAGAACCCCGCCAATAAATTTTCAGCTCCACTGAAACAACGTGAGCAAATTGTCTATGTTTCAGCCAGAGAGAGGGAAATTTAAAATTGATTTCAGTAAATTCTTCAAAGAGTAATAAACACGTTACATAACTCCAGCTTTGTTAACTAAGGCAAAGCACCAGCACGGTGGCTCAGTGGTTAGCACTGCTGCCTCACAGCGCCAGGGACCCGGGTTTGATTCTACCCTCGGGCCACTGTCAGTGTGGAGTTTGCACATTCTCCCCGTGACTGCATGGGTGTCCTCTGGATGCTCCGGTTTCCTCCCACAGTCCAAAGATGTGCAGGCTAGGTGAATTGGCCATGCTAAATTGCCCATTGTGTTCAGGGATGTGTAGATTAGGTGGGTTTACAGGGGAATGGGTTCTGGGTGGGATGTTCTGTGGGTCAGTGTGGACTTGTTGGGCTGAAGGGCCTGTTTCCACACTGTAGGGATTCTATGATTCTGTGAAAATAGTTTAAGAACGTTTTCTAGATGAATGGACTTGATCATCCAAATCCAAAAACCTATATTCCAAATTTTTTTTTGTCATCAAAGGTCAAAAATGATGTGAGCTTTTATATTATAAATCTTCAAAATACAAGTTGTACAAATTTTTGTCATACGAGCTTAATCATAAATGTACTAACTGGAAACACTCATCAAACTGACAGCCTTGGTTATCAGCACTTGTTGTGGCATATTCTATGTTAGACAACACAGCTCATGGAAGGAGGAATTGGCTTTATGCAAAAATATCATTGACAAATATTTAACCATACAGATCTTCCCTGCCCTTGAATAACTTTTCCAAGATATTTGACCTCCTTTCATCTGCAGTCCTCCATTATGTTCAAGAATGGAACAGGTGTGTTAATGTGACAATAGTGCATCTTTGAAAAACACACTGAACTTTAAATGTACATTAGAATGCTACTTAGTAATTTAGAATACACTTATCTAAATTATTTGAACCTTCATTTCTAGCTGTATGTTCCTTCAGAGCCTCCTATCTTGAGAATAGCTCGTGGCCCACTTTTCTCAGAAGTGATATGTATCTACCAACACTTCACGCACTCAGTACGGCTCAATAATGTGCATGGTAAGAATAACTACTGTTCTGATAAATTTTTGTCTCATATTATAAATTCCTGACTCTTTGACTCTGAAACTGTTATTATTAATTGCTTCATAATACATTCTAGTATTGCTACAAAAAACACATACTTTGTCAAAGCATTTTTTTAGTCTCTGACTTGCTCTTGTATCCACTGTGTTTATGTGGCAAGTGCAGTTGAGTTTCTGGTTAATGGTTACTCCCAGGTTGTTGATAGCAGGGGATTCAATGACGGTAACACTATTAAATATCAAGGGGTGGAGATTAGATTTTCTCTTATTGGAGACGATCCATGCCTGGCATATTTGTGGCACGAATATTACATGCCACTTGTCAGCTGAAGCCTGGATATTATCCAGATCTTGTTGCATTTGAAAATGCACTACTCCGGTATCAGCAGAATCATGAATGGTGCTGAACATTATACAAACATTGGCAAGCGTTGCCACTTCTCATGGAAGGAGGGAAGGTCATTGATGAAGTGGCTGAAGATGGTTGGGCCTAGGATGCTACCTTGAGGAACACCTGCAGAGATATCCTGTAGCTCAAATGATTGACCTCCAACAACCATGACGATCTTCCTATGTGCCAGGTATAACTCCAACCAACAGAGACTTTGTCTCCATTCCTCATTGTTTCCAGTTTTGCAAGGGCTCCTGATGCCACATTCGGTCAAATGTGGCCTTGATGTCAAGAGCTGTCACTGTCACCTCACCGCTGGAACTCAACTCTTTTGTCCATCTTTGAACCAAGGCTGTAATGAGGTCAGGAGTGGCCCTGGTGGGCGTCACTGAACAGGTTATTGCTCAGCACATGCTGCTTGATAGCACTGTTGATGACACCTTCTATCACTCTACTAATGATTGAGAGTAGACTGATGAGGAGGTAATTGCTTGGTAGATGCTAGTCCTGTAACTGTACTGGAAAAGCTTGGCTAGGGAAGTGGCAAGTTCTGGAGCACAAATCTTCAGCTAGAAGTACCAAGTGGATGATCAATTGCAGCCATCCATCGGAATGTTGTCAAAGCCTGCAGCCTTTGCAGTATCCAGTGCCTCCAACTGTTTCTTGTCATTTTGTAGAATGAATCTAATTGCCTGAACACTGGTAACTGTGATGTTGTGGACCGCTGGAGGAGGCTGCGGTGGTACTTCTGGTTGAAGATTGCTGCAAATGCTTCAGCCTTGTCTGTTGCACTGATGAGTTGATCTCTTGCATCATTGAGGAAGAGGATATTTGTGGAGCTTCCTCCATTTTCTGAAGAAGGATCCTGACCCAAAACGTCAGCTTTCCTGCTCCTCTGATGCTGTCTGGCCTGCTGTGTTCCTCCAGCTCCACACTGTAATCTCAGACTCCAGCATTGCTCCATCCACCATTCATGATTGGATATGGCAGGATTGCAGAGCTTAGATCTGATCCATTGGTTGTGGGATTGCTTGGCTCTGACTGTCATTTGCTGCTTATGCTGTTTGGCATGCAAGTAGTACTGTTTGGTAACTTCACCAGGTCAACATCCCATTTTTACACAATTCTGGTGTTGCTCCTGGCCCTCCTGTACACTCTGTTGAATCGGGGTTGATCATCTGGCTTGATGGTAGTGGTTGAATGGGGATATACTGGGCCTTGAGGTTGCAAATTGTGTTGGAGTATAATTCTGCTGCTGCTGCTGATGGCCAACACCACCTCGTGGATGCCCAGTCTTGAGTTGCTAGATCTGCTTGAAGTCTTTTACTTTTTGCAGTGATAACACAATGGAGGTGTGAAGGCGGGACTTTGTCTTCACATGGACTGTGCGGTGGTCACTTTTACCAGTATTGTCATGGACAGAACCTGCTGGTTGGTGAGCAGCAGAGTAGTGAGCCACATGCAATGTATTGATTAGCAGTAAAAATTTCTAGTACAAGGTGGTGAACAGCAATGCCAAAATGTTTAGCTGCCTTAGGCTTCTTTCTGGCAGTGATTCAAATCTGAAGATTTCTTTGGACATGGCTTTAAGAATTCTATTCATGCTGACAGCAGCAGGAAAAGCTGAACATTCAAGAGCCATACTGAAGAAAACTTCCGGGCAAGATTCAATAAAGTGGAATCGACACGGTAAACTGACTTCGACTGTTAACTTTTTTGCTTCAGCGCATCTCAAGAACTTCCCAGAGTTGGTACATTAGTCATTCCAACGCAGTTACATACTACATGCAACCCGAGTCAGGGTTCAGGCAGAGAGATCATAGACATCTGAGGCTCCGTGAGTCAAATTAAAATCCCTGGTGGAAAGGGAAACTTTAAAAGGAAGTGCAGAATTACAAGGTGGAAATGTTAGAACTATTGAAAGATGCTTACAACTCTGATCGAATGTCACCACCTTGGCAGCAGACAGTATGATGTGTGGCTACAGTAGGAGAAATCAAATGCCACTGTAGCAGTTCAAGCCAAAGCTGGAGACCTATGGGCATCACAAAGCAACAATTAAACTGATAAACGGACAAGATTTAATGGAGGAAGGAAGTAAGGTTACTTTTAGAGGATCACTGGAAATGTGGGAGGTCCGTTACTAAAAACCATGCTAAGGCTCGGAGGCATTTATTCCAGCTGCACACGGTGTAAGTCGTTCAGGAGAAATGAGGATTGTTATTAGAGCTTTCAGATTGCAAGAATCAGCCTGAAAGAAAAGTGATTTAACAGATATTATGATTAGAGCCAAAAGGCAGTGGGATTAATTCAGTCAAGCAGAAAACAGGAATCATTTATTTAGGCTGCAAATAGTACGATTCATCAGGAGAAACTGCAAAACATGCTTCATTATACCTATGAAAGACATTTTTGACTGCTAAAACACAGGAAAACCTACCATCAGCAACATGCTATTACTGCAAATTAAAAGCCTATAAGCAAGGAAACTAAAAATCATAAAATATAACAAAGAACTGCAGATGCTAGAGATCTGAAACAAAAACAGAAATTGCTGGAGAAACTCAGCAGGCCTGGCAGCATCTGTGGACAAAAAGCAGAGTTAACATTTTGAGTCCAGTGACTCTTTATCAGAACTTGCCAGTGTTGTTGATATAAAAAACCAGCAACAAATTTGTCAGGAAAATTCAATTTTAGAGACAGATCAAACAGAACATTGATTTGGACATTTTGGAAATGATAATTCTTAAGATACAGAATAGCAAATCAGATACTAAACCAGCAGATGAACAAGTAAATACACTTCTGTTTACTATTGACAATATAACTGATGACATTATAACTTGTCAAGGGGTGAAGGAAGAAACAGATACTTCTGAAGAACTACTGAAAGCCTTTGTCAATTATTCTTATCTCAGAACAAATAAAATTCTTGAAAGAGAAAGATTTATCAGAAAAGTTCAGCATTTAATGGAATCCATAGATACGTAGATTAATGATCTCTGCAGATTAGTGAGAAATACAACTGAAAAGCAATCCTCCACCACCATCCTCTGTCTTCAACCTTTAAGCCAGTTCTAAATCCAACTGGTTAGTTCTCCCTGTATTCCATGTGATATAACCAGTCTACCATGAGAAACCTTGTCGAATGCCTTACTGAAGTTAATATAGATCACATCCACTGCTCTGCCCTCATCAATCCTCTTGGTTACTTCTTCAAAACACTCAATTAAGTTAGTGAGACACGATTTCCCACTCACAAAGCCATGTTGACTATCCGTAATCATTACTTGCCCTTCCAAATACACATGAATCCTGTCCCTCAGGATTCAACAACTTGCCCATCACTGATGTCATGCTCACCAATCTATAGTTCCCTGGCTTTTCCTTCATCACGTGTCTTAAGTAGTGGCACCATGTTAGTCAACCCCCAGTCTTCCGCACCTGACCTGTGGTTTTTGATGGTACAAGTATCTAACCAAGGAGCCCAGCAATCACTTCCCTAGCTTCCCATAGAGTTCTGGGATACACCTGATCAGGTCTCGTGGATTTATCCACCTTCATGCGTTTTAAGACATTCAGTACCACCACCTCTCTAATATGGACATTTTTCAAGATATTGTTATTTATTTCCTCACATTCTTTATCTTCCATATGCTTCTTCATTGCAAACATTGATGCAAAATACTCTTTTAGAATCTCCCCCATCTCCTGTGGCTCCACACACATAGTCTTGCTAATCTTTAAGGGGCCTTATTCTCCCCCTAGTTACCCTTTTGTCCTTCACGTATTTGTAGAATCCCTTTGGATTTTCCTTAACCCTATTTGCCAAAGCTATCTCATGTCCCCTTTTTGTCTTCCTGATTTCCCTAAGTATACTCCTACTGTCTTTATACTCCTCTAGGGATTCACTTGATCCCTGCTGTATACACCTGACACATACTTCCTTCTTTTTCTTGACCAAAACCTCAATTTCTCTAGTCATTCAGCAATCCCTACACGTACCAGCCTGGCCCTTCACCCTAACAGGAACATAATGTCTCTGGATGCTCGTTATCTCATTTTTGAAGGCTTCCCATTTCCCAGCCGTCCCTTTCCCTGCGAATATCCGCCCCCAATCACCTTTTGAAAGTTCTTGCTTAATACCGTCAAAATTGGCATTCCTCCAATTTGGAATTTTAACTTTTGGATCTGGTCTATTCCTTTCCATCACTATTTTAAAACTAATAGAATTACGGTCACAGGCCCCAAAGTGCACCCCCACAGACACCTCAGTCATCTGACATGCCTTATGTCCGAAGAGTAGGTCAAGTTTTGCATCTTCTCTAGTAGGTACATCCACATACTGGGATCAGAAAATTTTCTTGTACACACTTAACAAATTCCTCTCCATCCAAGCCCTTTGCATGCTGGCAGTCCCAGTCTATGTTTGGAAAGTTAAAATCCCTTACCATAACCATCCCATTATTCTTACAGATAACTGAGATCTCCTTACAAATTTGTTTCTCAATTTCCTGCTGACTATTGGGGATCTATAGTACAATCCCAATAAGGTGATCATTCCTCTCTCGTTTCTCAGTTCCACCTAAATAACTTCCCTGGACATATTCTCAGGAACACTCTCCCTAAGTACAGCTGTAATGTTATCCCTATTCACAAATGCCACTCCCTCTCTTCTCTTGATCTTCCCTCCCCGAACCTTTCTATCCTTCCTGTAGTATCTGTACCTTGGAACATTAAGCTACCAGTCCTGACCATCCCTGAGCCCATGCCTATGTAATCGCTATGATATCCCAGTCCCATGTTTCCAACCATGCTTCGAGTTCATCTGCCTTACCTGTAGGTCTCTTGCGTTGAAATAAATGCAGTTTAATTTATCAGTCCTACCTCATTCACTGCTTTGTTTCTGCCTGCTCTGACTGAATCGCTCCTTTTCCTAACTGCACCAGGCTTAGACTGATCTCTTTTCTCACTGTCTCCCTGGGCTCCCCCTCCCGAACAGCTATAGCAAATCTCTCCACCAGTATGTTAGTCCCCTTCCAATTCCAGTGCAAACTGTCCTTCTTATACAGGTCACTTTTATCCAAAAGAGATTCCAATGATCGAAAAATGTGAATACTTCTCCCCTGCACCTACTCCTCAGCCAAGCTTTCATCTGCTGTACCCTCCTAGTCCTAACCCTCACTAGCTTGTGGCACTGGGAATAATCCAGGTATTACTACTCTCAAGGACCTGCTTTTCAAATTCCTGCCTAATTTTCTATATTCTCTCCTCAGAATCTCATCCTTTTATCTTCCTATGCCATTAGTTCCAATATGTACAATAATCTCCTGCTGGACCCTCTCCCTTTTGAAAATTCTGCATCCTGTCCAAGATATCCTTGATCCTGGCACCAGGGAGGCAACACACCATTCTGATGTCTCTTTGGAAGCTCCATTTCTATGTGGTCTCAAACCACCAACCTCTTGGTTAGCACCCGAACGTGCTACCTAATTGTACCACAGAGACTGGCTTGTTAAATTGTTTGAAGATGTTCACATTGTGTTTCAGAATGGTTGACAAACTTGATGGTGGAATCCTCCACCTTTAGCTTCATATCATGATTTTGCACCAACTTCACCTTCTCTCTGACAACAAAACTTTCTCACACATTTAGTCACAGTCTGACTCTGTACATCCTTTCATAAGGTGCTCACAATTGATGGTTCACCCAGGTATGATTTTGCATCCTTGTGCCATCTAGCTCTATCCTGATTGGGCAACTTGCTCGTATGAGAATATTTCAGCTGTAGCTAATGTGGAGCATTTTGGCTTATCGAAGACTTCATTTTATTTCTGTTCTGCCGATAGGAATAGTTGAAAATATCAACATAACTGAGTTTCATGTCATCTGAATTTGACTCCTTGTGCTCTTGTTGTACGTAGGTACAATAGAAATTCATTGAGATCTAGTAATGGTAAATAGAGGATAAGATATAAGTAGACTTGTTCATCCAAATATCTAGGTTCAATGTCCGATATGATCAGAGAGTCAATCCAGGAGCCATTTCAATGTAGAGTATGAGTTGAGGCTGTGATAAAGTTTGTGGAACTAAGAGATGAGAGAAAATGTGACCTATCACTTATATCCCAAGAACAAATTTTAAAAGTAACTTGGGTGTCCAGTAGTTTCTATTTTCATCTTCATACTGGAAATATATTTGGAAATGCTTAGAAATTTCTCTTAATATTCTCTGCCTTTTGACTTTCATTTTCTCTTTCACTTGATTGCCTGGATTCTGTGTTCCGAAGAAGATATATTGGGCTCAAAACATTAAGTCTATTCCTCACCTCTCAGATGCTGTTGGGCCTGTTGAATTTCTCCAGCACTGTTTGTTTTTATTTCAGATCTCCCGTATCCACAGTACTTTGTAAAAACAAGGGTGATAGGTGTTTGGAACTCTCTCCCACAAACATCAATGGATGCTGGATCAGTTCTTAATCTTAAATTAAAGATAGATAAACTTTTGTTCAGTAAAGTTATTAAGTGATATGGACCAAAGGCAAGTATCTAGATTTAGGCCACAAATCAGTCATGATCTCATAGAATGGCAGAACAGGCTCGAAGAGCTGAATGACCTACTCTTGTTCCTTTGTTCCTAGTAGGATACAGGTCACTTCAGGGATCGAGAAAAAAGGCAGAGAGACAAAATTTAACAGTAAACAAAAAAGTAGATGAGAGGTAGTAAATAAGAATTCCAGATGATCACACTATTTTGAGAGTGTAAGCTAAAACCTATGAGAGAGAAAAGATATCCAAACATTCTGCTTGTGTATTGTTTTATATCTCGTCACATCTGTTGTTGGGTATGCTTTCTGTCAATGCAATTGCTCCTCTGTTGTAACTATGTAATGAACACAATACATCAAAATAGCTGTAACCATCAAAGAATTATTCATTTATGGAATGTGGACATCACAATCAAAGTCAGCATTTATTGTCCATTGCTAACTGCTGTTGAGAAGGTGATAATGAGTTACCTTCTTGAACCATTGCAGTCTGTACGATCGATGTAGGAAACCTAAAATGCTGTCAGTTACAAAGTTTTGGCCCAGTAACAATGAAAACATAGTGATGTGTACCAAGTCTAGATGATGTGTAATTTATGGCAGCAAGCTTGGAGATGAGGAAAGGCTGAGGGTCTTGAGGTTGTTTTCGTTAGAGAGAAGAAGGTTAAGAGGTGACTTGATAGAGACATACAAGATGATCAGAGGATTAGATAGGGTGGACAGTGGGAGCCTTTTTCCTCGGATGGTGATGGCTAGCACGAGGGGACATAGCTTTAAATTGAGGGGTGATAGATATAGGACAGATGTCAGAGGTAGGTTCTTTACTCAGAGAGTAGTAAGGGCGTGGAATGCCCTGCCTGCAAAAATAGTAGACTCGCCAACTTTAAGGGCGTTTAAATGGTCATTGGATAAACATATGGATGATAATGGAATAGTTTAGGTTAGATGGGCTTCAGATTGGTTTCACAGGTCGGCGCAACATCGAGGGCCGAAGGGCCTGTACTGCGCTGTAATGTTCTATGTTCTATGTTCTATGATGGTGTTCCTGGTTTTTGTTTTATTTATTTATTGTCAGCTGTGTCTTGCTACAAAAATGCAGTGAAAAATGTTGTATGGTGTCACCGCTCTCTGCCACTTTCCTAAAATATAGAAAAATAAACCAAAACATAGAATATAAAGACTGAAAAATTAAGAAATTAAAAAAGTGTCCAACTTTACATTCCTTCGTGGTAAATGCTCTGGCATGGGCCAGGGGCTTGGTGGTCAGGCATGAGTCTCCTTCGCCGCACTGCTGCCGCTGGAATGACAGTCGCTACTCTTCGGCACCATCTCGCCTCCGCTGATGCCCTCACACTATGAGCCGTTGCTGGATCTTGCCAATGCAGATGCCACCAATGCTACCCGGTACTTCACTGACCCAAATTCGACTCTGCCGTTGCCATGAGTCTGCTTCGGGGCTACTCGCCAATGCAGCTGCTGCTGATGCTGCTGGGTCTCATACCAAATTGATCTCCCCCCAGCTCCTTGAATCTGCACTGGGCGCAGATGCCATCAGGAACCCAACTCACCTCTGCCGCAGCAGCCACAGTCACGTGTGGCCCTTGTTCTTCTATGTGTTTGAGGCCCTAAGTTTGGAAGATGCTGTTTAAGAAACACTGGTAGATGATATATAATGTTATAAATGGTATATTTAAATTACAGATAATTAAGAGTAAAAAAGGTCGAGGGTGTGAAGAAAGAGTATAGGAGTGGAGCTAATGTAACAGCTCAAAAAAAGTGATGACCAATATGGCTTCATTTTGTCTTGTATGATACAATAATTTAAAAGGACTTTCATATTTGTTTAGTTGATTCTTGTATAATCTTTATACAGAAAGATACTTTGCAAGCAAGTTTACAGAACTTGGAAAAATTGTTCACAGCAAGTGTCAACAAACAGTGTGTTTTCTCATTAGTTATTAAAAGGAACATATTTATCCTCCAAAGCAACACAGAGCAATGTTGTGTGTCAGATGGCATTTACTAGATATTTGTTGCTTGATGTGGAACAACTCTGGAGAACAGCAATGCAGAATTACTGTTAGTTTTTGTAAATATGTGTATTCAACTTTTTTTTTCTGATACAGGGATTGATGGGCTGTCATTGGAAATCTCTAATATTGTCGATATTAGGGGGGAAATAAATCAAGAAATTGTCATGAGGCTGACCACAGATGTCAAAAGCAACAATCAATTCTACACTGACCTGAATGATTTCCAGGTACTTACACCATTTGAAATATGTGCAGATCGCTTTAAAAGCAACTCTGCCCAAACAACAGTAATGGTTAATCTTAAATGTTATTTAACATTTGTAGCTTACTTTCAAGGCAGTCATGGTGTCTTGTTATGGTGGAGTCTGTTAGCAGTTTTAATTTAAATGTTTGCAGGATTCACTCGTTTTGCTTATAAGTTTATAATTAGAATGCTGATGGAGTTTTTGTTTTAATTTAATTGAACTGAGCATGTGTTTTACCCACTTCAATTAATAGAATTCTGGCTGTAATATTTGTAGATTATCACATAAATAAATACTCATCATGAGTATTATTGTTACAGTTTTTTGAGTGTAATCAACAACACCCCCACATGCAGTAATGATAATAAGGGAATGGCAAACTCATTCATTGTCTTTATTATATAGTAAAACATGTCATACATTGATCTAATAATCAGTTGGCTGTATATGCTTAACTCAGAAATTTAGAAAATCTGATGAACAATTTCAGAGAAACTGATAGAACTACAAATAAGTTGACAACTCAAAAAGTAACATGCAATTGAATAAACAGTCTAGAATAAAGGCACATGGTGAATGTGATAGTTTTAATGTAACTAACTTGAATATTTTTATTACATTGAAAAATGGGGTATCTATAATTGACAAGACATACAACATATGAAAAACATACAGTCAGTCTGTAATGGGTCAGAATCTGAGCTCTAGATTTCTAGAACACGAGCAAGAAATTCATCTCATTATGTCCAATTTGGATCTTTAAAAGAAATATACAATAGTTGGTTCTGAAGAAGTCATATTGGACACGAAATGTTAATTCTCCACAGATGCTACAAGACCTGCTGAGTTTCTCTAGTACTTTGTAATTTTGTTTTTATTTTGGATGTCAGGCATCAACAGTACTTTGCTTTTACAGATGAATATGTTGTCTTTCAGATGAACATTTTTCACTGTTGTATCTTTTGCTAATTGAATTTGCACTGCCGTTCATTGTCCAATTTCATTACTGAGGTAATAAGGCAAGAATAAAGCTAAGCTATGCATATTGTATCTGACTTGATGTTCTTCCAAAGCAGTATAATCTTACAGAAGCAAATTTGTACTTTTAAACTATAAGCTTTAAAAAATATAACCAGCCTTAAAATAGCTACTTAATTATTTTTAACGTTTTGTCAATTAAAATGTGGTTGAATATGTTAATTGGTTAATCTTATATTTTTTGCTGGCTCCTAATTATATAATAAACCATAATTAATACATGTCATTAAAAGAAGCTTCAAATTTGCACCTTGTTAGTACAAAATGGCTCTTTTTCAAACAATTAAATAATGACCCCTTTTCCTTATGAAACTTAGCAAAAGATATGTTTTTATAAAAAGCTTCTAAGATTGCCTAATTAAATCTTAAACTAAAATCTAAACTCAGAATTACTCACACTGGATGTGCACTGCTTTTGACTGAAAATGTTCAGTTTGCTACTTTCTGGAGTATGTTGAAGTTATATTATGATTCTCTTTCACAAAGATGCCATCCATGATGAAACTCAGGAGTAAGTTCTTTAGGAATCGAGTTTTACATGCATTTTTAAAAAAAGCTAGATAAATAAGTAAGGGAGAAAGCATAGAAGAATGTGCTAAGATTTTTAAGGATTTGTCTTTGAGGCATGGATATCACTGGCTGGGCCAGTACTAATTGCCTATCCATAAATCCCCTAGGAGAAGATGGAGGTCATGGAGAGCTGCCTGTTGAACTGCTGCAATCCTTGGGTTTAGGGACATTACAGTGCTGTTAGGAAGGGTAGCATGGGCAAGTCGGGCCGAAGGGCCTATTTCCATGCCATAGACTTATATGACTCTAAGTGTGAGTTTAGGTAGGAGGAATGAAGATAAAGAGTATTTCTTAAATGGTGAAAGTTTGGAAAGTGTTGATGTCCAAAAGGATCTGGATGTCTTTGTGCTAGCTTTCAACTAGCACGCAGGTGTAGTGAGTGTTTTGGATGTCAAAGAGTATGTTAGTCATTGCTCCAGAGGTTTTGAGTACAGGAGCAAAGAAGTGCTGCCTCACTTGTACAGCACACCAGTGAAATTGCACCTGGATTATTATTATGTGCAATTCTGATCCCCTTGCCTAAGGAAGTGCAATGGAAGTACACAAGATTGATTCTTAGATTGGTGGGACTGTCCTACGAGGGAGATTGAGGAGACTGGGCCTGTATTCTCTGGAGTTTAGAATAATAGGAGGTGGTTTCATAGAAACTTGGAAATTTCTTAAAGGAATAGATGGAGTAGATTCTGGTTTGAATTGTATAACATTCTCTGGTTAACTATCCAGGTAAGTACTGGAACTGTCCCATGTTTCTGAATGTAGCTCAGAGTTGGTGATATTAATGAAGCATCCCAGAGAGCAGAGGAATTGCCCACTGGAAATTTAAAATCCAGGCAATTCCCACAAGGTTTGGTGCATCAGGATTTTCACAGAGCCCTGATGCATATCTTCAGTAATATGTATGGTTTATAACAATATAGAGACCCCTTAGTAGATTTTTGACCCAGAATGTTATAACCCAATAATTACAGTGAAATAATAACTCAATATTCGAATTAGATTGGTTATATGGAAGGGAGTTAAGAAGATGTAGGAACAGGAAGAGTACATATGAAATTACTTTCTTATATAGACGATAAATGTGAATACAAACTGAGCTGATACTCTGGCTCTTGACAGATAAAGATGTATATTTGAAGTTTGAAGCTGATTAGTGGCCTAGATATCTTCCTGTTTTCAAATTGAAAAGATAGATTTTACAAGATTCTAGAAAAATACCAGTTACCTAACTTCAAGGTAACTTCTTACATGCCAAATTTATTTGTTTCCTTGAGTTCTAAGATGATAGTGGGTAAATATACATTTTCAAGTTGATGGAATAATGGTCAGTGTTTCAGAGCTTGATCTCCAAAATTCTAGAATTCTATGTAGAATAACTGGAATTTGACTTAATAACATAAATCAATGGCCATTGTGTAACACCTCTATTTACAAAAAACAAATCTTTGAACTCACCGTGAGCAGTACCACAGGCAAGTGCCAATTTATTAGAAATCTTGCATATAGTGTATGCCATTGCACATTTTCTATTTTTTTTGTTTCTCAATTACACCTAATACTTAAATGTCATACGAAGGCAAATTTGCTGTGCTAATCTAATCCTCCATACCTAATAGATGACTTTTTTTAAAGTGATTAACTCCAAAATCTTAGACAACAAGGTGCAGGGCTGGATGAACACAGCAGGCCAAGCAGCATCATAGGAGC